TGCAACTTTATGCAATCCCATTTAGACATTCTAATACTAGATTGAAGAGAAGTGGAGAGAGTGGATATCCTTGTCTCGTTCCTGAGTTAAGAGGAAATGGCTTTAGTTTTTCACCATTAAGTATAATGCTGGCTGTAGGTTTGTCATATACAGCCTTTATTGTATTGAGGAATATTCCATGGATTCCTAGTTTTTCCAGCCTTCATCATAAAGGGGTGTTGGATCTTGACAAATGCTTTTTCTTCATCTATTGAGATAATCATGTGGTTCGTATCCTTGCTCTTGTTGATGTGATGAATTATATTAATTGATTTGTGTATATTGAACCAGTTTTGCATCCCTGAAATGAATCCTGTTTGATCGGGGTGTATGATTTTTTGATGAATTGTTGAAGTTGATTGGCCAAAATTTTGTTGAGAAGTTTTACATTGATGTTCATCAAAGAAATGGGTCTATAGCTCTCTTTCTTTGATGAGTCCATGCCTGGTTTGGGATGAGGGTTATAATGGCTTCATAGAAAGAGTTTGATAGTGAACTTTCACTTTCAATTTTATTGGAGAGTTGGAGGAGTATTGGTGTAAGTTCTGCTTTGAAGGCCTTGTAGAATTCAGCTGTAAATCTATCTGGTTCTGGGTTTTCTTGGGTCTCTTATTGTTGTTCCTATTTCCATGCTTGATATAAGTCTGTTAAGTTGGTTTAAATCATCTTGGTTTTGTTTGGGCATGCTGGAAATTCATCCATTTCTTCCAGATTTTCAAACTTACTAGCATAAAGGTTTGAGAATAATGCTCTGAATCTTGGTTGTTTCTGTGGTGATGTTTCCATTCTCATCTCTGAGTTTGTTCATTTGGGTGTGTTCTCTTCTTTTTCTGATAAGATTTGCAAAGGGTCTGTCAATTTTGTTAATTTTTTCAAAGAACCAACTCTTTTTTGTTGATTCTATGTTTTTTATTCTAATTCATTTAATTCTGATTTAATTTTAATTATTTCTTTCCATCTTCTGGATTGGGGTTTAGCTTGTTGCTCTTTTGCAAGGAGCTTCAGGTGCCTCATTAAATTGTTGGTTTCAGATCTCTCCAATTTGTTGATGTAGGAACTCAGAGATATAAACTTGCCTCTGAGTACTGCCTTTATTATGTCCCAGAGGAGCTGGTAATTTGTGAAATATCATGAGCATTTGATTTTAGTTTCTAATCTTTTTTATTTTTGTTTTTGGTCGGTCATGGGGCTTGAACTCTGGGCTTGGGTGCTATCCCTGCGCTCTTCAGCTCAAGGCCAGTGCTCTACCGCTTGAGCCACAGCACCACTTCCAGTTTTCTAGTGGTTTTTATTAGAGGTAAGAGTTTCACAGACTTTCCTGCCTGGGCTGGCTTTGAACTGCAATCCTCAGATCTCAGCCTCCTGAGTAGCTAGGGTTACAGGCATGAGCCATTGGCACCTGGCTTTGTTTCTGAACTTTTCCATGACCCACTGGCGGTTCAACAGTGTGTTGTTCAGCCTCCATGTGTTACAGGATTCTTCGGTGGTTTTTGATGTTGAGTTCTAATGTTATTCCCTTGTGGCCTGAGAGAATGCAGGGCATAATTTTAATGTTTCTGAATTTGGACAAGTTTGCTTTGTGATCTAGAATGTGGTCTCTTTTGGAGAATGTTCATGCTGGTGAGAGGAACGTGTACTCTGATGCTGCTGGGTAAAATATTCTGTAGATGTCTGTTAAGTCTAGTTGATCTATGCAATTGTTTAGATCTGAGGTTTCTCTGTTGAGTTTTTTTCGGGTTGATCTATCCAGCAGGGATAGTGGTGTGTTAATGTCCCCAACAAATAATATCTTTGAATCTATGTGAGATTTCATGGAAAGTAGTGTTTTTTGGATAAATTTGGGTGCTCCATTGTTTGGTGAATGGATATTTCGAATTGTAATATCCTCCTGAAGGAGGATCCCTTAGTTAGTATGTAGTGACCTTCTTTATCTGTTCTCACTAATTTTAATTTGAAGTCCATTTTATCTAATATTAGGATTGCAACTCCTTAGCATAGTGGTTTATATGTATTATCCCAACTACTTGTGAAGCGTATGTAAAAGGATCAAGGTCTGGGGTCTCCCCTGGGCAAAGAACACAAGATTCTATCTAAGAAACAACTTAGGCTAAAAGTACTGGGGTGGCGATACAAGGCTCTGAGTTCAAATCTCAGTACTGGCAAACAAAGCCCTCCCAAAACACACACACACACACACACACACACACACACACACACACACCACAGTTCCAACCCATAACACATTATAGCAACTGACTAGTAAAATGGCAAAGTATCTGGTACACATTTAGACTGTGGAGAAGCAGCTCAGGGAAAGAAACCAATTGTATTAGAGGATTAAAACCTGTTGTATCTCTTCCATACTTAAAGCCTTTCTACAACTTCCTTTTGCACTTAATACATCAAAATCCACACCTTGTCTTCAACACCCTGCTTACCTAAGCCCTGATCAACTCCTGCTTCTCTTTGCTGTGGACACTACAGTGTGTCAGGCCTTCTATCATTATTTGAACACACCAACTTTTTTCTGTCTCAGAGAAATCTTTTTGTTGATTATTTTTAACAATGGATTTCTGCATAGATCTTTCCAAGTCTTAGCTCTTGCTAATCTTTCAGCCTTATGTCAGAAAAGTAAAAATGTCTGCTTTGATGATCTAGCTTGATTTATTACTGAATACCTTGAATACCCTGTTTTCTTCTCTGTTTCTTTGCTAGTTCAGTGTTCTTCCACTCAATGATCAGCTCTGAGGGAGTTTTGTGTGACCACCTTTCTATCCCTAACTCCTGGAATGAATAAAAAGTAGTGGAATGCCCTTGTGATCATTTGGGCCAGACTTGAGCTTGAGCTCCAACATATACTGCCTTTGTACCTTCAGATGGTTATTTCACTTACCTTCTGTTTCCTTCTCTTTCAGGTAAATATGAAAGCATGTGCATTTTAGGTAGTTCTGAAAGGGAAGACCTAATGTTCTTAAAGGTTCTGATCTGTAATCAGAAATAAGAATATGTCAGGAGGGTACTGAGCACTTGTGCCAAACATAGAGGATAGTCATGCTTTCTGAGCCCAGAAAGCATGAGCTCTCTGCTCTCCCTTGAGCTGCCCCAAGGTTATTAATGAAGAGGAAATAACTGAGGCTCTGAGGACAAATATCATCTCTGGATTGTAAACTTATAACTAAGTATTTGCAGTAGTGACAAGTCACCCTAATTCAGAGATTCCACCTCACCTTGGCCTCAGCCCATCCAAGAGAAGCTGTAAGTGGCTTTCCAAGAACTCACCACAATACCCTCCAACCTCATTTTCTTGGCTCTGACAGGACACACAGTACCCTGCAGCCCTCTCTGTGGCTGCTAGAACAAATTACCACAAACTCATTAGCTTAAAACAATGCACATTTATTTTTCTACAGTTTTGGAGAACAGAATTCTGAAATGGGTATCAGGACAGCTCTACTCCTTCTGGAAGTTCTGGAGGAGAATCTACTCCCTTCCCATTTCCAGATTCTAGAAACTGCATTTGTAGCTCCAGGTCCCTTCCTCCTTCCTCACATTCAGCAGCAAAGCTTCTTCTAGTCTCACTCAAACTCCTGCCTCCTATCTCATGAGGATCATTATAATTATATTAGGCTTACCTTAGCAATCCAGGATACTTAGTGACATTTGTAAAGTCCTTTCTGTCATGTAACATATTGCATTTACAGATTTTGGAAATCAAGATGTACATGTTTTGGAGGGCCATTATCCTTCCCACCACATATAATGAGTGGACAAAACTAGGCTTGGGAGCAGCAGGCTGGAACTCAGCCTCTACTCCTTTTACCGACTTTGTTCAAAGTAGAACTCAGTGCGAGCCAAAGATTCACTATCTTTGGTGAGCTGTATTGGCTGATGGGGTTCAGCTGGGCCACAGAGGAACCATCCAGGATAGGCAGCAGCCTCCAGCCTGAAGGCAGAGCCCAAGCTGCTCTGAAAGAAGGTGAAGCGTGTGGCCCGTTCACCTCCCTTGTACAGATCCTCGATGTTCACATCCTGGGGGGACAGAGTTCACAGCTGTAGGATAAATGTGTTGACTGGGATGTCAGCCTAAGAGTCCATGGGGGCTTGGCCAAAGAAGGACTCAACAGGGAAGGGCTTTATCCAGGAATGTTCCTTCTGCAGATTACAGAAGGCAAGGACCTCATTTCTGGATATAAAGTGAGATGCTGAAAACCTAAGGGAAGAGGACATATGGCCCTGGTTGGAAAACCACAGATAGATGCAGAGACACCATAGCATCCTGGGGACCAGACTGGGTGATCAATATCACCTCACTGGGATGATCAATGTCCTCTCACCTCCAGCTGTAGAGAAGGCCCCTCTCTTGTCTCCACACATGCCAGGCAGCAACTTCCTCCATGGACTCCCAGGAAGATGGGGACCTTGGTGCGGTCCAGGCCTCTGTTAGGAAGTATACAGATCTTTTCTGGGAAGGAAGAAGAAAGATAGGTAGGAGATGAGATGACCCCACTCTGCAGGCTCTCAGCAAATGAAGACCTAATAGAAAGAACTAGGCCTAGGTACACCTGGCATGTCCCCTACTTGCAAGGCCACATGGGAAATAGGACTCCACAAGAGTCAGGTTCTCTCATGAGGACAGGCAGAGCTATGGGCTTATTCTCACCATTACAGGTGTGGCTGCTAATCCATTGAAAGTGATGGAAAAGAAGAAGAGATATGAAGACCTGTGGTAGATGAAATGTAAGACAGGTCCTGGCTGGGAAAGCCCCACAAGCTCACCTGCAGTACAGTTGTCTGTGTCTGGATCTCCTACCAGAAGCTGGCCGTCTCGTATATACAGAGCCTTCTGATCCACATCTTTGATTCTGGAACAGGATGGTATTGCAGATGGCCCACTGCCTTTAGACATTATAGAACTTTTAAGCTCTTCACCGCCCCCCCCCCCAGTCTGAGCCTTTCGGAGATTCTTCTTATTTCCACAGGTAAGGAAAGGGACACTACTCCATCAAGAGCAGGTAATGATCATGTCCATCTTAGAGCAAGAGCAAGTATCTTGGGTACATGCTTTTCATAGGCACGGAGGAGTGAGGGGAGTTAATGCCAACTTGTAAAGAGGTAGAAGAAGTTTTTCTGAGACGTTTCCTTGGGGCTCAGGTGTCTTTGGGTAGAGTGAACCCTGTCCCAGGTTTTATAAAACCTATCTCAATTTTTCATAGATGTTTACTCTCTTTAATGAAGAGATAGACTGTATTAAAAAGTGTTGAGTTGCTTTTTGGATATTTTAAACACTTTTATTTTGCATATTTTTATTGTGAAAATATCGTATAGAGAGGCTACAATTACATGGGCAACATAATAAGTACATTTCTTATCAAGCATTGTTACCTCCTCTTTGTTTATTTTAAACACTTTTTATAGGAGAAAACCCACAAATCAGAAAGAAAAAAGAAAAAACTATTTTATGTTGCACAAGTATCGAACATGACTATCATCCTAGCTCAGCCAAGGTTGAGACATGCTCTGGGTGGACCAAGTACAGCAGGGTCAGCAGAGGAACTGAAGCAGTGCTTGATTACAGTCATTTGAGAATAACTCTGGTTCTAATGACCATCCTGGGAGGGTAAATATATACTTTGGAATCCACGGAGAAAATGGTGAGCATGCTGAGCATGTTGAACATCAAAGCCATGCAAGTTATTAGCCCAGTTGCCTGGCCAGTTTCAAAAGTACCTGTCAGCTGCTCTCAGGACCTGGAGAACTCTCTAATACCTTTGAAGGCAGAAGCTCTGACCCAATGTCACCATCTCTGAGAGATTTTTCTTCCTCTATAATAGTTATGATGCCTTTAGCTAATAGCATCATGTTTAAAACAGATTTGCTTGTACAATAAAAATAGAGATCTGCAAAGATCCTAGCATTGGCAATAGACATTCTCCTTCAAATCTTGACAACCAGAATTTGACAACTCGCCTATCAGCAGCATTCTATTTGGACAGCAATAAACTATAAGAAAGAATGCAATGAGGATGCAATGAGGCCAACTACAAATAAGAGTGGAAAGGCAGGACTAGAAGGAAAGGTCACAGAAGCTTTCATGAAAACGCAGTCACTAAGATCTGGGATTGTCTCTGAGCTTTTAGATACATGGAGGTAGCAGCCCAGAGAATACCAAGTGTGATACTGGGCTCTGTATAACAAATATATGATATGGAGGAAGTTATAGATGCTCTTGGGGTCCATTTCCAGTAAAACAGTTCAGGGTATTCCCTTACAGATTGCTTGTGACATAGAGAAAGTATTAGAATGGCTACAGCATGCAGATGCACAATTAAGGGGGACTGATGATTTCATGGTGAGAAGGAAACTCAGCTCTCTGATCAGCCTTCCTTCCCTCTTCCCATGTGTTCCCCAAGCACCCTGATTAGGAAAGCAAGGGACACACTAGAATGACTTACATACAGTATCTTGCCATAGGGAGGGAGCACATGCTTGGAACTGAGGGATCTGGTTCTCACTAAGGGAAAGAAGAAATAGGTTATTAGAGAGAAGGGTTAGTAAAATAAGGGCAAGACACACTGGACTCAGAAACACCCAATTATAGGCTACTAAAGCAATTATAGACCTGGCCTATCAAGCTTCAGACAGATTGACCTCTCTCTTCTTTGAGAACAAGTAGTCCCAGCATGGGAATGAGCTTGGGGTATGCATGAGCTGGGGCTAGCTCTTATCAAGAGAACAGGTTTTTTTCAAATTAGGGTAGGACACTACCCTGGATGAGAGTTGAGTCAGATGTGCTCTAGCCCCAAGATTGGAGATGAACACAGAGCAGATCAAGTCCCACTTTCTAATGCATTTGGAAGGCTACTATGCTCCCATCTCCCTATCTAGCAAGAACTTAGACATCTAAAGCCCAAAGGAAGAGCAGCATGGTTAAAAGTATCTCCAGTCACACTCTCCCTATGTTTAAAGAGAACCTCCCCAAACTGTCCTGTTCTGTTATGTAGGGAAAAAAAGACAAGCTTAACAGTCAGAGTTTTTGACAGTGAATAATCTACATTGAAGAAAGTAATCTACAGGTATATAAGGGATACACAAAGATTCATAGGACTCTCTTCCCTCCTGGCTGATGATCCCATCCCATCTTCCCTGAAATGACCACCTTCAGAAAGGCCAACCCAGCCAGACACCGGTGGCTCACACCTGTCATCCTAGCTACTCAGGAGGCTGAGATCTGAGGATCACAGTTCAAAGCCAGCCAGGGCAGGAAAGTTCGTGAGACTCTTATCTCCAATAAGCCACAAGAAAACCAGAAGTGGTGCTGTGGCTCAAGTGGTAGAATGCTTGCTTTGAGCTGAAGAGAGCAAGGACAGCGCCCAGGTCCAGAGTTCAAGCCCCACGACCGAAAAAAAAGAAAAAAAGAAAGGCCAACCCAGTATCTAGCATGGAAAGTAAACCACGCCCAATTAGAGGCAAAACTGCACCCCCCCTAAAATAAAAGTAAATGTGAGTATGACCACAGCTAGACTATACTAAGTAGATTTCACCAAGTAAGAAGGAGAAAGAAAAGAATATGTAAGAAGGAAAATGAGTCATGGAAGAAGAAAGGAAGTCATAAGAAAGGAGTTGGCTCAGAGAGGGGTAGATGCTCAAAACAAGGGATTCTCAAAGATGCAGGTATTCCTGCTCAGAGCAGGAATTCAGACCATCTTAATATTGCTGAGCTCCATGACCTATGTGTTAGAAGAAATAGGTCTGTAGCCATAGAGGCACTGGATCTTCACTGTCACCTTAGATAAGTAATTTTTATTTTTTTAAATTTTATTTTATTTTATTTGTGAACATACTGTACAGAGGGGTTACAATTACATGGGCAGGATAATGCATACATTTCTTA